ATTGTTTATCAGGGACTGACTAAAATACCAAAGAGCAAAGCTTCCTGATTCATAGTGGATGGAAATATTCAGATGGTTTTTCTCAGCTGGCTGGAATAAAAACATTTCCTCCTGTGTGACTTTCAGAGACTCACTCCCTCCCTTACATCTACACGGCGCTCTCCAAACCTGTGGGCCTCCCGGGCATCCACGAGTTCACAGCCATGGGTTTGCTGGACGACAGGATGATCGACTACTTTGACAGCGAGAATCAGGTGAAAGTTCCCAGACAGGAGTGGATGAGAGAGCGTTTACCTGCTGATTACTGGGATAAAGGCACACAGTCCCGCAAGAGCAAGCAGCAGTGGTTCAAGGTCAACATCGGCATCCTGATGGAGCGAATGAGACAGAATGACTCAGGTCAGACCCTCGAAAGCTGAAGGACCTGCATGACATCAACAAAATAACATTTTAATTGAAAAATGCTTCCATTTGAGATCAGGTTCCTCAGGTCAGGAACAAGTTGTTCCTGCTTCCTCATCTCGTCTGCTCTGAATCTTCATTTCCTTGTCCTTTGTTTGTTCTTCCTTATTTCACCCTCCTGCTTCCAGACCTCCATGTTCTTCAGTGGATGCACGGCTGTGAGGGTGAGACGCAGCCTGACGGCACGCTCAGGTTTGTCCGAGGCGTGGACATGTACGCCTACGATGGAAACGACTTCCTGTCCTTCGATGATAGAAGCGGAGTCTGGGTCGCTCCGATTCCGGAGGCACTTCTCACCAAGAGGAAGTGGGACAGCGTCCAGGTGCTGAAAGAGTACACCAAGGGATACCTGGAGAACGAGTGCATCGATTGGCTGAGCAAGTTCTTGAATTATGAACAACAGCAGCCACGAAACACCTGTATGTATGACATCTAGTTTCTGTATTTTGATATTTATTCTTATTAGACTTCATAGAGGAGGCTTTGTGTGTGATTATGGTTCAATAACATTCAGAAATCCAAGAACCTTCAGTTAAACTTCCAGCTTTTCTAAGTTCAGGTCAAATAAATGTAAAAAGCTTAAAGTTTCCTGTGAGTTAAATGTTTCCTCCTTTATTTGGACACAACAGTCTCATGATGGCAGCAGGAATGCAGATTTACAGCTCAATATAAATGAAAGAACACACGACTACCTATCAGCAAAATCAGTAAGCAGTCATAAACTGCCTCTTCACTTTTGATCTTCAAACTGTCGTTGTACTACCTCGCTGCGCCCTCCGCCACACGGCAGGTGTTCACCTACAGAAACACCTGGTGGATAAAAAAGTCACAGAGACGAGATAAACGAGCGTCTCTCCGAGTGCTCCGTGACGTTCAGCTCCAGATGTGAGACTACAGATGTGAAAGCATTTTGTGTGGAAGCCACAAACTAAA